AAAAAAAAAAAAAAAAAAAAAAACGCCTTTTATCCCCGAAGGGATAGACATAAGATCAAAAAAAAAAAAAACGCCTTTTATCCCCGAAGGGATAGACATAGGCGCACATTACGACACTTAATGCCACTGTACAATGTAACACCCACTTTTCACTATTTATGTTATGAGTCCCATGTAATAGGGGGTGAGTCTATTGCCATATACCGGACACAATTTCAGACTCCGTGCTACTACTGAGTTTTTTCAAACCCAGTAATACCTTGTAATGACATATAACATAACATCACGCCTTTTTATCCTCGAAGGGGTAGGTAGAGGTGCACATTCCGGCACTTAATGCCACTGTATAATATAACACCCACTTTAAACTATTTATGTTATGAGTCCCATGTAGAGGATTCGATCCCGGGATCCCGATCAAATTTCGGTCCCGTAATTTTCGGGATTATTTTTTAAGTATCCCGGGATTTTCGGGATTGGAATTTATGCTCTTACCAATGCATTTTGAGATTCATTTTTGTGATGTAGAATAAAAATATACATGAAACGAAGCGAAACGCACGTTAGAAGTTTTAACGGCCATCTTGTTTACACATCTGATTTCATTTGTAATTGCTAACGGATCTTTTTGAGATCATTAAACAAGAAATGAATCTTTATGAAGCTAGTTCCACACAAGGTTATAATTTGGAGAAGACTTATAAAAAATATTGACGATTCCTCCAACTTCCATTGAGCCTGAGCGCGCTTTTTCTGCCTCTTCATATTTGTGCAACAAATTAAGAAGCAAGCTTTCTGATGAGTCGTTGGATGCTATACTATTTCTTAGATATTATTTTCGAAGTAGAAAGAAATAATTTATAAATTACCTTGTATTACTGATCTCTTTAGAATTAAGTCATTTTTAATTTTTATCTAAACAAGCGTTTAGAAGTTGATTTTTTAAAGATTTTATGTGAATTAAAATAAACAATTTATTACACTAAGTAAAGAAGTTCCTAGTTTGTTTGTTTATTATTTTATTAGAAGAAAATATTATTTTTGTTTCGTTTTTTGTAGATTGAACTGATGATTAGTAGTTGATTTTGATATATAAATTACTGTCTTTCTGTTACTTCTTTCTATACCGGGACTGTCCCGGGATCCCGGGATTGACTTTAGATGATCCCGAAATCCCGGGACTGAAAAAATGGGCCGGGATTGAATCCTCTAGTCCCATGTTATGTCATAACTGCCTCGTTGGCCAAGTGGTCGCAAGTGCGACTGCCGGGCAAGGGTTCCGGGTTCGATACCCGGGTCGGCAAAGTATTACTAGGGTTTTAAAAATCTCAGTAATAGCACGGAGTCTGGATATGTGCCCGGTATATGGCAATAGGCTTGTAATGATTTCCTAAAAAATTAAAATATAAAAAATAAAATTTATTTGACAAGAACTCACCTTCAGACGCGAACAAAAAGAAGCTGAAGGTCACAAAAGCGAGATATAAACAGCAGATCATGTCCATCCAGAAACCAAATGCTCGATTAGTATTCAGGACTAGGGTCCAGGCAGACGAATGAAGGTCCTGTTGTTTGTCAAATTCCCTCGCTAGAGTGCGCTGGTGTTGTCTGGCGGCGCGGATGGTGGTTAGGCCTGATACCGTCGCTTGAAGGTGGTTGAGGGACTGGCTTCGAGCTGGTGGGAGAAAAGACTTGATTAGATTTGTTTACTATAGTCAGAATTTTAATTAGATTCCAGATTTGACAATAGCTACTGTCATTTTGTGAAATAATGATACCACATATAATAGTGTAGTGATGAACACAAAAATCGATAAACAATCAGTGTGTGTGTTTTATAATAAATGTTACAGAACGTGACAAGATAGCGATAGCGATGACGGCGACAATTTAAAAAATAACTTGTTCCCATAATACATCTATCTGTTTTGTTTGTCATGTTCTCTTTTCAATTTCTTGAAACTAAACTTAATATTTTAATCAGCAGAATTGTTAACTTTGGCTTAAGGATAATGACGCCGTTAACTTTTTCGGTTTTTTTTTCTTGTAGAATCACCCTTTAACTAAGTCTTCTGGATTAAAAAAACACCGTCTCCAAGGCATCATCACTCACCAATAGCCTCGATCCTCTTGAGCTCCCGACTGGTATTGAGGAACAGGTCCCGCAGCAGGAACAGTAGCACGGCCACCACGCCCGTCGGCACCAGGAGCCACCAGTTCACCAGGCACACCACCACCAGGATCGCTATCACTTCTAGGAAGAACTGAGGGGGAAAAAGAGGTATGTATTAAACTGTCAAACACCGCGAGGACACCGGTGACCGCAACCTATTGTTCTTTAATTGTGTCTATAATGACGGGACTCAACGAGTTAATAACATAACATAACATCTCGCCTTTTATCCCCAAAGGGGTAGGGTGAGGTGCATATTACAGCACTTAATGCCAGTGTACAATGTAACACCCACGTTTCACTACTTATGTTATGAGTCCTCGAGACTGCCCCGTTAGCCGAGTGGTCGCAAATGCGACTGCCGGTCAAGAGGGCTCGGGTTCGATTCCCGGGTCGGACAAAGTACTACTAGGTTTTTAAAAAAAATCTCAGTAGTAGCACGGAGTCTGGAAATGTGCCCGGTATATTGCAATAGACTCACCTCCTATAATATGGGACTTATAACATAAATAGTGAAAATTGGGTGTTACTTCTGTGGACATCTCTGCCAATCCCTTCGGGGATAAAAGGCGTGATAATATTGTATTATGAGTCCCATGTAGTAGGGGGTGAACCTAATGCCAGTTAAATATTAATAACTGTGTTCTTTAAAACGGGCACACACCAGGATTATCTCCTGTGTCGTGTGTACGTGTACAATTATACAAGTTCACACACACAGACACGGGACTACAATCTGTGGAGCACACAAAGAGTTGCTCTGTGGGGGCTTCGAACCCTCAACACTTTGTGCAGCCGCCAGTGGCCCAGCCACTCCCAGTTGCCCAGCCAAAAATAATAATTATAATACAACTAGATTCTGCCTGCGACTTCGTACGCGCAATCCCGTTTTCTTCCGTTCCCGTAGGATTTTCAGGATTTTTTTAGTAAAAAGAGCCTTCTCCTAAGAATAACAAATACAACAAAAAAAGAATTTGTCAAATCGGTCCAGCCATAGGGATTAATTTTTATATATATAATTATTAACTTTTTCTAGAGTAAGACCTACAAAATTAATTGAAATAAAATTAAAATAAATATTCATAAGTGCTTACCCCGAGACAGTCGACGAGTGCGACGGGCAGTAAGGTGTCGACCTGCCCCATGTCCTTCGAGAACCGGTTGAGGATACGGCCTGAAGGATTGTGGTGGAAGAACCACATCGGAGCACTCGTCACTCCCCTGTAAGAGGAACATTGAATCATCATCAATGAAATAACACCAAATGAAATAGTATCAAATCAAATCAAATCATATCAATTTATTTGTGAACACAGGTTATACAGAAGGGTGTTTAACATACATTAATAGCAAGTATCGAGGAACTCGACTAGTTTTAAGCCACTCTTTGTTTTTTGAAGGGGGAAAGTCATTCAATTACTGCTTCCACCGATTACAGAGAGAGTGTCAGACTCTTACTGAATAAACACCACCCTGTTCCTACTCCTGCACGTCGAGCCGGCCGGCCTCCCGTAAAGTCTTCCGCGACTCCGTATTGGCATCAGCCCTGTTGGGCTCCATCCGTGGTGGTCTGTGGAGTCTCATATTTATGAGCAGCATTCCGCGACCCGCGACCGGCGACTGTAGCGCTGCTACTGAATGGCTTGAAACAAGTCGAGTTTCTCGGCAAACCGTTACGTAAATTTGACAGTTTCTTTAAGTGTGGGAGAGCCATGCTTCGGCACGAATGGGCCGGCTCGACCGGAGTGATACCACGGCCGAACAGAAAACCGACGTGAAGCAACGCTTGCGTTGTGTTTCGTCGTGTAAATGAGGTTACCGGAGGCCTAATTACCCTCCCCTGCCCCAATCTCTCCAATCCCTGAATCCCCAACGATCCTCAAACTTCTAATCCCCAAAAGGCCGTTAACGCACTTGTAACGCCTCTAGTGTTCCATGTGTCCATGGGCGACGCCGAATGCTTACCATCAGGTGATCTGTCAGCTCGTTTACTGGCTTATGCCATAAAAAAAGTGTTACTGTACCTGAACATATTGTCGTGTAGAGCGACGGATGCCCTGATGCAGGTGTTGTAGAATATGACGAGTTTGTTCCACGTGAACACTATGCAGATACCGATCAGCCCGCCGTAGATGTACAGGCACTGCTCCCGGGTCAGGTGGAACCGGTTTGATGGGATATCTTCAAAGTTTGTTACTGTTGACGCAAAGATACGTGTGTTTTAGTAAAATGGAGCTTTTTTTTAAGGGGGGAAAATCATTGAATGACTGCTCCCGCCTGTGTGAGGCGGGAGGGAGTGTCAGACTCTTACTGACTAAAGACCACCCCGTTCCTTCTCCTGCACGTCGAGCCGGAGCCCCGGTTACCCGTTAGGTTCTCCGCGACAAAATGAAGCTTAGTATCTTGTCATTTTGGTGGTATCTGGTGTTATTATTAAAAATGTAGATAATAGCAAAATATAGCAAAACTATCGTGAGACATACTAAATTAACTAAAAATCGCGGGTTACACACGTGAATATACTGAGAAAAGCTCTACTAGTTTTGAACCACAGAGGGGCTCATAAGCAGCGTGTGCGGGCGCGACGACGTGGCGCTAGCGTCGGCGCATGTGTTGGTATTGTAGCTTTGCTCAGTATTTTTAGGTAACTAACACTTATAGTTTATTTAGTATGTCTCACGATAGTTATTATAATTTATTTTTATTGCTGAGTAGTAGAACTTTTCGCAGTATAGTCACATGAGTAGCCCTCGATTTATTGTTAATAGAAAAATCATTTATATTCTCAACTTGTCATTTGAATCAGAGACTACACGCTATATTTTACAATTTGGCGATCGCAACTGATTAACTCTTTCAGTCTTGGTAGTCACTGTAACTAACCACATTTTCTTAGAAATTCAATTTTTGAAGTATGCTTCAAATTACTTTGCGTTGGTTTTTAAGCATTTCTGTATAATTGAATAAAATATATTCGTAACCAGTTAAAAGTGTGATTGAAAGAGTTAAATAAAGAGCTAATAAATAAGTTTGCGACCAGAAAACGAGTATTACTATTACTTTTTTCATCTTGCCCTGGAAACCAAGATTAAAAAAAAATAAAACGTTGCCCCACACTGGGATTTTTTCCTGTGTCATGCGTACGTTTACAAACATATAAGTTCACATACACATCACACACAGACAGCAATCTGTGGATAACACAAAGAGTAGCTCCGTGCGGGAGACGAACCCGCGACACATTGCGCGGCCGCTACCGTGCCGAACGTGCAGTCATTGTATATGCGAACCTCTGTCTACCCCATCATAGAGCAACATATACAGTATATCTTACCCGGCGGCACTACAGGTGCTTCTCCAGTAGTGTTCGTCGTTTGTGTTGTATTCGCCGCGTTAGCTACGGTTATTGCGCTGTTCGCTTCTTCTAAGTTTACCCTGGAAAAATAATACTTATTTACTAAGTATTAAGGGTTATTTTAAAGTACATAATACAAACATCAACAGCCTATAAATGGCTAATGCTGACCAAAGGCCTCTTCTCACACGGAGAAGGTTTGAGCATTAATTACAACGCTTGTTCAATGCGAGTTGGTGATTTCAAACTTGTAATTAGAAATTATAAGTTCAGGTTTCCTCGCGATGTCTTCCTTCACCATGAAGAATAAAATACAATTTTAAAAATTCTGATCTGCTGTTTACATGTGAACATTACCCGACTAACAATCTGTCTGTCAGATATCTAACTCTGAAACTCTGACTGACTGACTAAATAACTTACTCACCGACTGATTGACTAACTAATTGACTGACTTTTCGGCTCAACCGGAGTGATACCACGGCCTCACAGAAAACCGACGTGAAACAACGCTTGCATTGTGTTTCGTCGCGTGAGTTAAGTTACCCAAGGCCCAATTACCCCCCTCCGTAGTCTCCCCAATCCCTGAATATCCAACAAATTCCCAATCCCCAAAATGCCGGTAACGCACTTGTAACGCCTCTGGTTATCCGGGTGTCCATGGGCGACACCGATTGCTTACCACCAGGTGATCCGTAGGCTCGATTACCGGCTTATCCCATAAAAAAATACAGACTGACTGAAGAATTAACTAACTACCTCGCTGACTGACTGACTTACGAACAATCTATACAAGAGTCACTGTTTTCATGATAACTTACCATTCCTTCAGCCATACGTCGGTGGAGGAGTAGAAGAACTGCGCCAGTAGGAACAGTAGTATCAGCAGAGCCATCGACAGCGTGCTCCCTCCACTACGGATGTAAGCCACGTACACGCTGTTGTCCACTGAACCTTTCTTTTGACTTTCACCTGGAAGTAAATATTGTAATTTAATAATAGGGTAGATGTCTAAATTTTATTTTAATGTCCGTCTGGTAGATTGATTTAAAACATTACACGTATTTTTTCTTTTCTCACAAAATTAAATACTTTCGACGATATAATAATCTGAAATATCGTGTGACGTCACTATGCGCCACATTTTGTAGCACTTTGTGACGTAACGACCTCCCACTCCTAAACGTAACTCCATTTTATCTAAGTATTGTAACTTTACACGAGAAAAATAATAAAATACGTGTCTAATATTTTTTCATTATCTAACTGACGGACTAAGTAGATTTTTAAATTTCATTCCCTGACTACCCCATTATCCAAGTTGTTTCAACGTTAAACATTTAAAAAAAATCTTTTTTAATGTCCAATCGATTTTTACTTTTATTCCGTTGACATAGAGGACCTTATGGCATAACAAGTCACAATATCAAAATTAGATGATTTATTTTAATTAGATGCCTTTTTCTTTTTAAACACAGTTATAATAATATAATTGTTCTTTAATTAGACATGAATTAATACTGTTAATACAATTTTATATTTGTACACCGGTAACGGTAGTATGTGTGGATCTTAGTTAATTTTAAGATCTGTGTGCACTATGTACTGAGAAATAAATGTCATTTATTCATTCATTCATTCATTCATTCATTTATTCATTCAATAATCTGTTACAAGTCAATGCTCAGAGTCCTTAGTACTAATTTGTTTTACGTTTAAAGTGATCGTAACGAGTACACATTCGGCGCACTGATTGGTTGCTTCATTGGAGCCGGCCAATCAGAGCTCCGAACGCGTACTCGTTTCGAATACTTTAAACGTAAAACAAACTTTTACTAACTTTTACTAAGGCCTCTGATTGGTTGCTTCACTGGCACCGGCCAATCAGAGTGCCGAATGCGTACTTGTTACAAATATTTTAAATGTAAAATAAACTCGTAGTAAGGCCTCAGGTCTATCAAGATATTTATGTAATTTTGAAAGGAGTATAGGTAAACTTACCTTCATATTTCGGATCCAGGTTGTTATCTAGATCCAGGTTGAAAGACAGCTGCGACGCTTCAGACATAGACCTTTGAGAGCGAAGCTTGTTGTAACTGTGTTCCTAGGAAGAAATAATAATAATAATAATTTATTTCATCATTATGAAATTATGTTATGATTACGCTTTTTATCCCTAAATGATAGGCAGAGATGCACAAGTAGGGCACTTAATGCCACTATGCAATATAACACCCACTTTTCACTATTTTATGTTATGAGTCCCATGTAATAGGGGGTGAGCCTACTGCCATAAACCGGGCACAATTCCAGTCTCAGTGCTACCACTGAGATTTTTTTCTAAAAATCCAGTAATAATTTGCCCGACCCGGGAATCGAACCCGAGACCCCGGTTTCCTCCCGATCTTTTCCATCACCGTTTGTCAGTGGTGTCTAGATAATCTTAGAAAGTACAGTATCGAACCCGCGCCCTCATGCATGAGAAGCGGGCGTCTTAACCTCCAGGCCACCACGACTATGGCTATGGCTATGGCTATGGCACTATATGACTTACTAAAGAAATATTAAAGACTAACACTTTTTATTGGATCCGGTTTCTCTGATTTCACAGAAACATTAAAGACCTAGTGGAAAGAAAATAAAATTAATATCTAAAACTATTATCTTTTGTACTATACTACTATCTTTTAGAGGTATATTCATAATTTATAATTAATGTGAAAGTTAACTCTAAGGTGAGTAATAAGTGTGGGAGAACCATGCTTCGATACGAATGGGCCGACTCGACCGGAGTGATACCACGGCCGCGCAGAAAACCGACGTGAAACAATGCTTGCGTTGTGTTTCGTCGTGTGAGTGAGGTTACCGGAGGCCAAACTAACCTCCCCCCCTTTCCCAATCCTTGAATCCCAACAAACCTCAAATTCCTAATCCCAATAGGCCAGTAACGCACTTGTAACGTCTCTGGTGTTCCAAGTGTCCATGGGCGACGCCGATTGCTTACCATCAGGTGATCCGTCTGCTCGTTTACCGGCTTATGCCATTAAAAAAAGGTTCATAATTCGACTAAACAGCTTTTTAATGTGTACAAAATTCTGAAAGGTAGCGTCGATATAGGCGTTAAAGTAGCTTATGCCGCCGGAATACTGAAACGTTACTCAATTTTAAGTCAAGCTCAAATATCGTGCCATCTCTGTCATTTTACAAAGAATTTGTAGAAATAGAACTATACTTAAGCACGCCTTAAAATTTAGTAGTGTTTCAGTATTCCGGCATTAAGGTCTCCTATCCAATACAATATTTTGCTTATCTTAAAGTCATTATTATTTGTATCAGCTGAACTGACTTATTTGCTAACTAGCTACTTCCGCGCGGTTTCACACGCTCTGCTCAGCTCCTATTGGTCGTAGCGTGATGTTTTATAGCCTATAGCCATCCTCGATAAATGCGCTATCCATCACAAAAATAATTATTCAAATCAGACTTGTAGTTATGGAGATTAGCGCGTTCAAACAAACAAACAAAAAAACAAACTCTTCCGGTTTATATAATAGTATAAGAGTATAAGATTGGACTAATAGAACTCTCACTAGCGCCATTCCCAAGAGGGCAAAATCGAAAACTTTATAAAACAAGACAAGTTAGTAAGATCAAAAAGGAATATTTTGAGAGTTTTCAAAAAAATATCTTACCACGCTCTCAGTGTTCTCATAACTCTTCTGCTTCTGCTTCTCTTCTTCCACCTTCTCTCCCATCTCTATCAACTTCTCGAACTCTGCTACTCCATTCTTCAACTCGTGGTATGTGCCTTGAGCTACGATCTAATAGAAAAATAATACATAAATAAGTGAAAATTATAGTTTGTAATCGCACTCACGACACAAGAGAAAATCATAGTAATTAAAAAAACATACATAACATCACGCCTATTATCCCGAACGGGTAGGCAGAGATGCACACAGAAGTAGCACCCACTTTTCACTATTTATGTTATGAGTCCCATGTAATAGGGAGTGAGCCTATTGCCATATACCGGGCACAATTTCAGACTCCGTGCTACTACTGAGATTTTTTTTTAAACCCAGTCATTCTTTGCCCGACCCGGGAATCGAACCCGAGACCCCTTGCCCGGCAGTCGCACTTGCGACCACTGGGCCAACGAGGTAGTAATTAAAAAAAGAAGACAATTAATCAGAAAGAGAAAATCATTTTGATGTCATGGCATAACGTCACGCCTTTTACCCCGAAGGTATAGGCAGAGGTGTACATTACGGCATCTAATGCTGCTGTACGATGTAACACCCAACAAAAGAAAAATGCAATGAAATAAACAATATTCTAGCTACTTACTCTGCCGGACCTCATGACGCAGACATTGTGGGCATGTTTAGCGTACTGCACGTGATGGGTGACCAGCACTGTCGCCTTGTCGCGGAGGAAATTACGGATGCAATCCTCGTATATCGCTTGGGCCACCTGTAAAGACAAAAATGATATTGTAAATTGGCTAGTTTCCTGCGTTTAAAATAAATTGTTTCAACTTTTCAATGCAATAAATATGACGGCGTAGCCACAGCGCCGTCTATTATTTGTTTTGGAACTAAGATGACATCTAGCCACAGAAGTCATTCTGACGGAGCGTCAGGTCGACAACAGCGCCGCCATATCTTTGAACCAGACTACGGTTATGAATGGCGTGCGCGAGACATCTCCGACGAACCGTCAAAGTTCCGCACAATCTTATAATTTTTCATAAAGTTAGAGTTGGATTAGTGATGGTTATGACTCGGTGTTTTATCTTATTATATGCCCAAATACACAAATACCCACGCATTGGCCGATCCTGATGCAGGCGGGGAACTGCCTAGAAATAATTAAAAAATAATCATAGTCTCATCCATTGATTTAACAATTTACCTACTTTTGGATTTTATTCTCGCTAATTTTAAGGAAATAAGTATGCTATTCGACGCAGAAATATGATGACGTCATAAGTTGCGATCCAATATAAAATTCATAGAAAAGTATCGTTTTTGACATTTCAATAAAAGTATTCAATTTGACTACCTGACAACTACCATATTATTGTATTTGAATATTTAGAATTGCAGTAATTCGCGTTACGTCTATGCCTACCCCCTATGGGAAACAGGCTTTGAGTAAAGTTACAGCCTAAAGTTTTACGTGTCTTTTAATTGAGGAGTAAATATGGATATCTATATTTTCAAACGACGTGAAATGAAACGGGATAGAGCTGTAAAAACTCATTCAGTTATTTCATATAATATAATAATTGTTAACAATTTGTTGAAATATTTGTTAAATATTTTTTCATTCAGAGTACGGAAAATAAAGCCAAACTCAATACCGTTTAGTTTATTCAATATCCACGCAATACGGATGCAATAGGCGATAGTGTTGCAACCCGACAATACAAAATCTCACAATACCAATATCGATCGATCGGGATTGGATTTTTTTTTTTATGGAATAGGAGGCAAACGAGCACACGGATCACCTAATGGTAAGCGATCAGCACCGCCCATGGACACCCACAACACCAGAGGAGTCACAGGTGCGTTGCAGGCCTTTTAAAAAGGAATACGTTCTTTTCTTGAAGGTTTGAAGGTCGTATCGGATTCAAGAGTAAGCGCTCAGAGGCCTTAGTACGAGTTTGTTTTACGCTTAAAGTATTCGAAACGAGTACGCGCACGGCACTCTGATTGGCCGGCGCCAATGAAGCAACCAATCAGAGCGGCGAATGCGTAAACTCAAACTCAAACACAAAAGCATTTATTTCAATTAAACCATAATTTGGTACTTTTAAAACGTTAACAAATATGAAATAAATAATAGTCTGTCAGTCTGTCCGTCAGTGAAGCTAGATTGCATTAAACGTAATAGAAACTTATACTAAGGCCTCTTGAGTCATTAGTACTACTTACCTTAGCATCGACAGCAGCGAGTGGATCGTCGAGCAGATATACGTCAGCGTTCTGGTACACGCACCGCGCTAACGATATCCTGGCGCGCTGCCCGCCCGAGAGAGAGGCACCTGGGAAATATTAATATATTTAAATACATAGTTGTTTTACTGCCTCGTTGGCCGAGTGGTCGCAAGTGCGACTACCGGGCAAGGGGTCTCGGGTTCGATTCCCCGGTCGGGCAAAGTATTACTGGGTTTTTTAAAAAAAATCTCGGTAGTAGGACGGAATCTGGAAAACTGCCAGGTATATGGCAATGAGCTCACCCCCTATTACATGGGACTCATAACATAAATATTGAAAAGTGGGTGTTACATTATATAGTGGCATAATGTGCACCTCTACCTACCCCTTCGGGGATAAGAGGCGTGATGTTATGTTATGTTATAAATGAATGTCCGTTCGTTATTCTCGCTATAACTCGAGAACGGCGAACCGATTTATTTAATTTCGGTCTTGAAATGTTCGAGGTTTGCCGGGTCAGCTAGTTTAAAATAAAAAATGGTTACACAAACTCACCTCGTTCCCCCACGACAGTCTTGTCTCCATGTGGCAGTATCTCCAGGTCAGTCTTGAGCTGGCAGCACTTGATCACCTGCTTGTACCTGCGCAGGTCCATGTCCTGACCGAAGAGGATGTTTTGACGGACCTAGAATTTTTTTTTTTTTTTTTTTTAAGGGGGGAAAATCATCGAATGACTACCCCCGCCTGGGTGAGGCGGGAGGGAGTGTCAGACTCTTACTGACTAAAAACCACCCCGTTCCTTCTCCTGCACGTCGAGCCGGAGCCCCGGTTACCCGTTAGGTTCTCCGCGACACGTAGTGAACATTGTTATCAAAAGTCAAAGTATTTATTTAAATTAATTCTTAATTACGACACTTCTGAAACGCCATGAATTGAATTGTTCGTCCGTCTGTCTGTCAGTGAAGCTAGGCTTCAAATCATTGGGTGGCATACTGTCTACTTTGGAGAGTCTAAATTCAATTATAAACTAGGCTATGAGGAGTACTCAAAGAACTCGACATTTCAGATTTGATGATATACATAATTGGGTAATAACAAACTATGTATTTCGACTTTTCAATACAATAAAATATTTAAAAAATAATCACACTGTCATTAATTGATTTTATAACTTACTTAATTTTAATATTTTTCTAGCAAATTTCTAAGAAATAAGTATTTTGACATCACAATACACAATCTCGTACAAAATTCATAGAAAACTGTCGTTTATTGACAGTTCGAAAAAAATATTGAATTTGACTAGTTGTCAATTACACAATTGGTTCGAATTCTCACGATGATGTTATTTTGTTTTTCTTCTACGGTTGGTGCGGTGCGGTGGTTGGGTAACTGGCTGCCACGCAACGTGTCGCGGGTTCTATTCCCGCACGGAACAACTCTTTTTGTGATTCACAGACTGCTGTTCCGGATGTGGAAACAAGTTCATGTGTATGTGAAATTATTTGTTTGTAACCGATACAGGAGGAAATACTAGTGTGGGGCAACGTCTTTAAAAAAATATCCAAATACTTAAAAATACGCGTATAGTTGAAAAAATTGTAAATTTTAAGTACAGATATGTTGTAACGACTCGAAAAGTAAAACCATTTGGCAACGTCACTATGTTTCTGTTGAAATTAATGAGCCGCGACTTGTAGAAATACTTGATATTGCTATTTACAATGCTTAGGCGCATGCAGCTGCGCCACTTCAAAACTGGGACTTTTGATTTATAAGATCTGTTTGCTTAGGCCGCAAAAAGGAGACAGGTATAACTATACAGGGTGGAATGTTGTAATGCCACCTGGAGAAGTACTCTTAATACTTAAGATAAAAAAAATATTATATGTTTTTTACATATCCCCACAAAAAGACTAAAAATGGATATTTAAGTAAGTGCTTTAACTTTTTTATTTTTATTTATTTATTTACTTACTTACATTTACCATTACAGGATGACCCAATGCGATAAATGCGATTTATTTAATCCTGACTTATTGCTTATAACTAATTACAAACAAAGCATTCCTTGTGAATTCACTCAGGGAACAGTAAAATAAGTCCGTCTCGCTCGCTATGAGGTTGAGCGTGCGGAGTGTACGCGTCAGAGATGCCTCCTTTAGAAGGTTAGTCCGTGAACTTGGCCCATTGTATTAATACTTTAAGATTTCATTGTTTTTTTTTTTCATTCAATTTATGAAGTTTGCGGCAAGCGAATTTTTTAAAATCTTTGATTGCAGTTTCTTTCTTTTCAAAAATAAAAGAATGTTTTCTTTGAGTATAATAGGGTAGACGACTAATTTTTATTTTAATGTCCGTCTGGTAGATTATTTAAAAACATTAGACGTGTATTTTTCTATTTCTTACGGAAACGAATACTTTCCACGATATATTGATTTGAAATGTCGCGTGACGTCACTTCTATGTACATTTTATACGTAGAAATGACGTTTTAGCCCCTACTCCTAAACTTTGATTCGTTTTATCTAAGTATTGTTTTATTATACGACAAAATAAAAAAATACGTGTCTAATATTTTTTAAATACCTAACTTACGGACTAATTAGATTTTTAATTTTCATACTCTGTCGTCATCCCAATATCTTAAGTATTAAGAGTACTTCCCTTTCAGGTGGCATAACAAAATTCCATCATGTATATTTTACTTACAGAAGCCTCGAACAGCCACGGTTCCTGCGAGGCGTACGCCACGATGGCGTGGACGTGGAGATGTCCCGCGGTGGGCGTCAGTTCCCTCAACATCGCCTGCAGTAGCGTGGACTTGCCAGACCCCACTGTGCCCACTACCGTCGTTAGAGTGTCTGGTTTTATCTGTGGGAATTAATAATATTAGGCGTATTATACTCTCAAAGGTCTCTCACTGGTAGTATCTTAAGTGAAACTCGAAATTATTTATAGGATAAATAAGCCAGTAAACGAGGATTACTAGGATTAGGGATTCGGGGATTGGAGAGACTGGGAAGAAGTGTGTAATTGGGCCTCCGGTAATCTCACTCAGTTCGAAAAATGTATTGAATTTGACTAATTGGAATTGCTCAATTGGACAAAAATCCCCCGTTTACATTTGCGCCACCTAATATGTCATATATATATATATATTTATAACATAACGCCTTTCAGCCCCGAAGAGGTGCACATTATGGCAGTGTACAACTGTACCATGTAACACCCACTTTTCACAATTTTATGTTAAGATGGTGAGCCTATTGCCATATTTCGGGCACCATTCCAGACTCCGTGCTACTACTGAGAATTTGTTGAAAATCCCAGTAATACTTTGCCCGACCCGGGAATCGAACCCGAGACCCCTTGCCCGGCAGTCGCACTTACGACCACTCGTAGTATGTCTCACAAAAGTTATAATATAAACTCACTGTTAAATTAATGTCCTCAAGAGCCGGTATCTTGCCATCAACACCCTCGTCGTCCACGTTCTTCCAGTGCGCCGTGTAGTCCTTCATAGCTATCAGTACCGGCGGCTTCATCTGTTCCAGGTTCGTCTCCGATTTGATGTACGCTTGCTGGCTGTGGTGGGTTAGTATTAATTATATTTTTGTCTGTTTGTGCCTACTACTGTTTGCGTAGTTGATCAAGTTGTTGTAAGTTCGACTGCCGAAGAAGAGGGTTTTGATTCTTGAGTTTGACATAATATTGTTAAGATTATTATAATACTAGATTTTACCCGCGGCTTTGCTCGCGTCACACAGCGCCATCTATACCAATGATTTCGTTTTTCCTCGAGAATATTATTTCCGGGATAAAAAGTACCCTAATTATTTAATCCAGACTTCTAACTTTACGTCTGCAAAAATTCAAAGCAATTGTTTTAGTAGTTACGGCGTGAAAGCGGAACAAACAAACGAAAAAACAAACTGACTTTCCGATTTATAATATTAGTAAGGATTGTTAAAAATTCTCATTAATGAAACGGGGTTTATCGTCGATTGGAATTGAACCCGACGTTAGGACAATAAGCACGCCTCTATTATACGGATTTCATAACATTACTGACTACTGATAAAAAAATATTAAGATTTTTAGTTTAATTTAAAACGTGCAGTTCTGACTAGCCCTTCGGCGAACAAAAGGTGTGATTGCTTAATATTAAACCTAATTAATTCACCTCATATTATCGACCAACCAACTGACTCCAAATTATCAAAAACTTCACTACATTCTTTAGGGCCGATTTTTAAATTGTCAGTTAATTTTGAACTGTACAATAAAGTTGACATTTGACAGTTTGGAAGAATTGTCAATTCCTCTGATAAAATTTAACTGAGCAATGAAAAATCGACCCTCTGTAAAATACAAAACAAACTCACCCATTACCAATCTTCTCAAACACGCCATTGGACTGCACCAGCTTCTCTTCGATGTTCAGTAAATCCACTCCATCCTGGTTATCCACCTCAGGGAGTAGGAGAAACTCCTGCATCCTTTTAACACTCACATAGGCCTCCAATGTGAACGTGATTGCGAGTGGGAGGAAATCGACAAGTGTGTACTTCAGGATCTCATAGTACGAAAATATAACGAATACTTTAGCAGCTGTCAATTCATTTTGGAACGATGTATAAGACATTATGCTTAGTAGAATGGCAACTTTGGTGTTTAATTTGACGCAGGAGATCATCACGGCTCGTAGCCATGACATTTTTTTTATTACGTTCATCTCTTTTCTGTGGACAATAGAAAAAATGGGGTTAAATCTTATACTATTGTGTAAAAGCTGAAGAGTACTTGTTCGAACGCGCTTATCTCCGAAAGTTCTGGTCTGATTTGAATGATTCTTTTTGTGTTGGATAGTGCATTTATTGAGGAAGGCTACAGGCTATAAAATGTCACGCTACTATCAATAGGAGCCGAGTAGAGCGGACAAAACCGCGCGGAAGTGGCTAGTCTGTAGAATAAAATAGATATTTCATATTTTAGCACTTTTTAGTATACAAAAATTGACAAATATTCAAAATTATTCATAACGTAATATAACGATCACGCCTTTTATCCCCGGAGGGGTAGGCAGAGGTGCACATTACGACACTTCATGCCACTGTATAATGTAACACCCACTTTTCACTATTTATGTTATGAGTCCCATGTAATAGGGGGTGAGCCTATTGCCATATGCCGGACACAATTCCAGACTCCGTGCTACTACTGAGATTTTTATTTAAACACCAGTAATACAGTTTGCACGACCTGGGGATCGAACCCGAGACCCCTTGCCCGGCGACCACTCGGCCAACGAAGCAGTCAAAATGATTCTATTCTATGTCTAGAAAAATAAGCCCTAAATAAAAGAGAATAAAATGGGGTCTTCAATGGGTTCACTTACTTCCTGGCCTTGCCAATGATTTTAGCGAACGCGTTCTCCCACGCGTACATCTTGATAGCCTCGATGCTTTGTATGACTTCGTTCATCAGTCTTATACGATTGTCCGTCCGTATGGCCGTTTGATGACGTAATTTGCTAGATATTTTTCCTAGGTAACCTGTAACAGAAACACATGAATATTAATTAAATTAAATTTCAAAATTCATAAAGGTTTTTTATGGGATACGCCGGTAAACGAGCAGACGGATCACCTGATGGTAAGCTATCAGCGCCGCCCATAGACACCTAAAACACTAGAGGCGTTACAAGAGCGTTACCGGCCTATTGGGGTTAAGGAATTTGAGCATTGTTGGGTATTTAAGGATTGGGAATGGATGGCCTCCGGTAACCACCTCCACTTACATGACGGAACACAACGTAAGCGTTGTTTCACAAATGCTTCGGCACGAATGGGTCGAGACGACCCATTCGTGCCGAAGCATGGCTCTCGCACGCTTAAACCCTGCAGGAATCGAATTAGCAATACATGGCATGACAGCTGCCTTCCCAATCACCATACCAACACAACAAATTCCCATCTACACCGAAGACCCCAACAAACCAATGGGTGATAAAAATGATCATAAATTTGTATTGTACCTAACTTTCGTAAATAAATTATTATGTTTTCGGCTTACTCACGTAATAATTCGACGAGGAACTCGACTAGTTTCAAGCCATGCTAGAGGCTCATATTCATGAGCAGCATTTCGCAACCCGTGACGCGGCGACTGTCGCGCTGCTACTCAGTAGCGTAACTGCTACTCAGTGCTACTGAGTAAGCCGAAAACATAATAATTAAATGACTTAATATTGGCATTACTTATGACTTATTTGATGAATCTAATTTTATTTGACATTAGTATTGTATGACATGTTACTTAATCGGTTTCAATTTAATTTGCAATTACAAGTGTCAATTAATTTTTGAATGATGACAATGTTAAATAATTTTAATTATATACAGTATTTGTACGCCTCTGGGCAAAACATGGAGAATCTTCCTACCTGTAACACCTCACATACCTATGTTTACAAATAAACATATTCTGATTCTGATTCTGATTCTGACCATAAAATCTCAAACTCACCCTGTAAAGGTATAAACATGAGTAGAAACGCGACCCCGATGAGGGTAGCGACCCCAATCTGCCGGTACATAAGGTAGACTATCAGGGTGCTCTCTATCGGGGTCCGGACCAGGTCCACCATGAACAGACTGGCCATGTCGAACCTTTGCGCGTCTGTCGTCAGAAGGTTCACTACGTGGCCCGCTAGACCTTCTGACGCTTTCCCTCCTTTGGTTAAATCTAGGCGGAGTAGCTGTAAGAAAAAGGAATGGTATATTATAATTATGTTTATTTGTGTTTATGTCTGAAATATGTAAGTGTATCTATTTTGATTGCTCAATTAAATCGTTGCTTGCTTCTTGCTCACACCATTGACTTCTCTGCATCACCCAAAGGTCAGACTGGGAGAAAATGCCTGCGGCATTAAGTCCACCTAATGTACACATTGTGCATGAAGCTTAAATAAATAAATAAATAAATAAATTAAAATTATCTGCCTCGTTGGCCGACTGGTCGTAAGTGCGACTGCCAGGCAGTGGCGTGCAGTCCATATAGGCAAAAAGGCTTTGCCTACCTTACAAATACCGTGAATAACACTACATAATAAAAGATATAAACATTTTAATTTTACTACAGAATACTAAAATAATAATTATAATAAAATTAGTGAACGCCTAAAATAAATAGTATAGCAACAATGATGGCGCGCGATACGTGTTGCATTTCGCCAGGCGTACCGTATATAGCTGTAAACATTAACGCGCGAGGCAGGCACGCGGTTCCGTCGCCTGCAAACCATTCATAAATTTAAGCGTGTAGTGGTGAACGTCATTGTGTGCGTAGTGCACAGACGCGTTTATTTTATCGTCGCGAAGCTTGCCTGCAGGCACGGCCTGACGACTCGTGATTGAGTTCGCCGCGTGCCGACCAATCACGTTCCGTGTCTTGGTTTACTCATTGGTCGCCTCGCAGCGAACTTCACGCCGCTCGCGCGTGACAATTTTTTTGTTTTTGTTTACGTGCGATGCGTGGATTTTCGGATAATTTTGTTATTTGATTTAGAATACGATTAGTAATTCTACGCAAATAATTTGTAGTAAACGGTATAAAATTGTCTATTTATATAAGTACATTTTATTACTGTGTTTGTTTATTTGTTAATTGATTTTGCAAAGTTATACGAAGAACTGTGAAGTTTGTATTGACAAAAGTTGGTAAAGAATTATAAACTATCGCAGACCATCGCTTAGTGATTAGATTGTGTGTGAGTTTTTCTTCTGATAGTCTTGTCTTGGTAAGTTCTATGAAAGTTACTTTATTTTAATGTGATTAGGTTATGTAACATAAGTAGGTACCTACGCGGAGCTTCCCGTCGCGGCAACTCAGTCAGTAAAAATAACGAAGCTTTAAGTAATATGTTATGTACTAATTATAAAATGAAATGAAGAAGAATAAGCTAGGTAAATGAATGTTTAATAATACTAAAAAATGTACTACCGCTTACTCGGCTCGGCCGCAGCCGGCCGCGCTCGGTTCGATTTTTCTATTAGTCATACCCAAGTTCTTAAAATCATAATATCTCTTGAATAGATGAACCAAACTTATTAATTCGAAGAATTAAATTAAAATAGTAAAGAATTCGTAATATTCTTGTATTAAACGTGAGAAGGCTGGACAGGCCGCCAGTTCAGTACAATTTTTAGAATGAACAATTCGTTACTGCTACTGAATTGATAACATAAATTAGATTAATCGTTATACAGCACCTCGAGTAGGTAATTATGCAGATTAGTTTTACAAATCTAAAGAGAAAAATAGAATATTAATGTTTTTAAGTTGTTAGAGTAATCAATAAGTTGATGTAATACTTCACGAAAACAACGAGAGATGGCACTGTTACAAAGAATTGACGAAAGATTAAAAACTTCATAAGTTGAATTATGTTATGTATTTACGATGAGTTTAATCATAATACAATATTATGTTGCCTACCCTGTTCTAAAACCCTGTGCACGCCACTGCTGCCAGGCAAGGGGTTTCTGGTTCGATTCCCGGGTCGGGCAAAGTATTAACACA